TAACCAAGTTAATGAAACCACATGCAGAATCAACAAGCAAGTTAACGCTTGGTAGACAATTTGAGGATTAATTCACAGCAAACAGTTCAGGGATTAAAATGCATAGATGCTTATTTCTCTGTAATTTATCAAAGACTGCATCATCTAGTGTTCAAAAGCACAATCACACTTTTTGATTGTGCCCTCTCAGGATAAAGAGTTTTTGTTAATTAGTTAAGAGTACAACTATTTATTCACAAACGATGCATGTCTTCATGAATCTATATCATGGAACTGGAAGTCTTTGTGCTCTGCGCTGGTCTTACCTTTGGATAAATGCTATAATCTGGACAAATGACAGTTGCATTCAGTTCATCAGCCAGCTGCCTGGACAGTAAGCAGTAAGTGGATCTTTCTCCAGAGCCCCATGCCCCTCCATAGATAAAAACCACGAGTGGAGTTGGCCCATTTTCAGGTCTGTTCATATTTAGAGGGTGGTACAAGTCCAGCTTGTTACTTCTGCGGCCAAAAATGATGCCCTTTTAAGAAGAAATAAAACTGTCATAAAGGACACAACTGGGGGCATTTTAAACTTGGAACATTATTAGCACGATAATAAACACACCTTTTTGAAAAGCTCATTATTTTCCACATTTTTATACCATGACTTCAGCTGAAAGTACAGTCTTATATATTGGAGGTATTTAAGAAAATCCAACGTAGCAATGGTCAAACAGTAAACCCGCCTGATTGAGAGGGAAACGATAAGAAAAAAGATCAAACCTCGTCTCAGTTGGTAAATAAAAAAAATAAAAAACAACAAATTACTCCAACATTTATCTGTGAAACTGTCCCAATCCAAATTATAACATGATACCTTGGTTTTAGAGCTTCTATGTACTTTCTATACCCAGGCTTATTGGGCCAGCCATAAATCCACTGAGCAACTAGACAGAAGGAGTACGGGAGGCCGACAAACACGAAGCCTGCTGTCAGAGGCAGAGAGGTGGAGTATTTTATCCAAGACCTTAAAAAAGAGGGGAAAAATACATTTACTGTTAATTGTATTGGTACTCCTTGTTCTTTATTATTCTGTGATCAGGACTTACATGTTGTGGCTCCGTCTGTCTCTCCCACCTAATAAAACCAAAAGATTACATCATGTAAAAACCAGGAAAATACTTTCAGACATGTGACATGACAGGTCAACCCAATATACCTTAGATTTACTTTCATCACAAATGTTTCTGACTTAACAAATATGGTAGAACGTATGGTCTAACACAGGGGTCTGCAACCTGCGGCTCTGGAGCCACGTGTGGCTCTTTGGTCCCTCTGCAGCGGCTCTTTCAAGCTTTGACCAAATCTGAAATAAAACTGAATTTTATTGGTTGTTATAACAACAACTAAAAGGGCTAGTTTGAGCAGTTTTCCTGTAATTTATTTTGCAATATATGAATACTAGAAACATTACAAGGAGTAAATCATACTCACTTTCACTTTATTCTTTATTTCTTCAAAGATAAGTAATTTTTCTACAATTAAAAATAAATACATAAATGCATAGTTTATTGTTTTAGTTATAGAAACTGGACAAAAACTATATTATTTTTTCATTCTTTACAAGAAGCTTGTCTTTTATTTAGTCTTAGAGTGAAAAAATATCAATAAATGTTAAAAATCATTAGATATTTTTAGTTTTATAAAATCACCCCTACTGTCCAGAAACGCACCCTCCAACAAACTTAAAGTGGCCCGTGGGCCACCAGTTGAGAATCCCAGTTGTAGCAGGTGTTGTGGCTCCAGATGTGTTTAATTTAGTGAACAAAGGGGCAGAAATGGCTCTTTTGATCATAAAGGTTGCAGAACCCTGGTCTAATATAGATTTAGCAAACTGTTAACTAAAGTTTAACAGGTCAGACATCACATTTTTATTGTTTTATATTTTCGTTCTCATCAATTTGTTTTTGGTGTTTAGCAAATTAGCGCAATCATGCAACTTGAACACTTTCAGACTTTAATATATACAGTACACACACACACACACACACACACACACACACACACACACACACACA